GCGGGTCTCCCGGCTCGCTTCGCCTGGAGAAGCCCCGCGGGCCGCGCTGGGGCCGCGCCCGCGAGCGCCGCGTTGCAGCCCCGCCCGCCCGCAGCGCGCGGAACTGCCGGAGCGAGCGCCGCGGGGCCCGCAGTCGCTGCCGGGGACCTTGCGCTGCACCGTCCGCAGGGCTCTGCCCCGGGGCACGGGCCGTGCCCGGGAAGGCGGCTCAGCTGGGGTCCGTCTCGGGGTCCGTCTGAGCCAGCGTCGTTCGCAGGTGTTTCTCCGGCCCCCCGGGAGCTGCTGCCGGGAGTGAAGCAGGGGCTCCTCAGTGCGTGGAAGGGCAGTGGCACGAGGCGTGCCCCCCACACCCCCCGCCCCGGCTCCACGAGGTCGGGCTCGGTTGCGGCGGCTCTCTTCCCCCCTCTGGGATCAGTCCCGGTGAGGGGCGGCGGGGTATGGTTTGGCCCCCTGCAGTTTGTTCTGTGGGGTAGCACCATGTCACCTCTGCCTTAAATGCCGGGTGCCGGGTGCCGTCCTTGGGGTTGGCCTTATCCTGACGCTGCCCAGCTCTGCATCTCTTCTAGGTCTGAGGCATGTGTTTGCATGACCTGGAGGAAGGGCAGCCTGCTGGAAGGGAATCCTGGAAGAAGGGCAGCCTGGCCACAGTGGTCCCCGCCTTGGTAACCTCAAGGGCGGATGCTGCAGTGGCCTGCTCGTGAGGCGGTCCTTGAGATTAGTTCAGAAGCTGCAGCTGGCGCCCACACAGTGGCCAGGTTGCTCTGCTCTGCTCTCCTTCCCATCCCGTCCGGCCCCACAAGCCCTGTCCCCAAGGTTGCTCTTCCAACCTCAGAGAGGGGCCAGTGCAGTTATTCAGCTGTGAGCAGCATGCTCTGAGCACCCGGCAACTTTTCCAAGCAAGCCCGCGGCCCTCCAGACACTGCCCAGGGGGCAAATTTGATTACGCTGGTATTTTCTGAATTTTTGGTAAACCACTTTTCCAGAAAAAGGTGGGGTGCAGGGATGCTTTAATAGGGCATTTTAATACACTGTGGTCTTTCTTTCCTTACACGTGTAATTAGAGTAATATTATATTGGCCACTCAGTTTTTAAATGGAACTTTTCTGTGCTGTAAGAACATACACAAGCAACATCTCACAACTGTCTGAAAAAACAGCATTCAGGTGGATGCAGAGTTAAACCTCTGGAATTTGCTGCCGCAAGATTATTTAGGATTAAATAACTTCATGCAGCCTTCTCCATCCTGGTACCCTCCAGGTATGTTGGAGTGCAGTTCCCGGTCTTCCCAGCCCTCGGGCTGGAGGAGAGAAGGATGAGATTAGATGTAAGATGAGGAAACACATGACTTAGAGACAGCTCTGATTTTCTTTATTGTCAATCACTCCTGCCAGGGGTATGTAAGAATAAGCATTTCCTCTCTTGCCACAAGCTCCATGGAAATTCTTCTCAGAATGAGCTCTCTGGGAGCTTACTTCCAGGGCTCATAATCACCTTGGGTAGGATTTTAATTAAGACTTCAGTGGCGGAAAAAGGGATTAATTCCCCCGCATGCATCACAGACCTGACCCGTGGCAATGAAACCACACACACACCCCACACACGACAGCCATCTACAATTTAAAAGAAGCAACACCAGCTTCAGAGTTGCCAGATTGCTACCCTCGGCAAGAGTCAGAGCAGCTGCATGCAGTGAAAATAAAAACAAAACGGCGTTTCCAGTGGTGTGTTGAGTGTCTTTGCTAGTTCGTCCTGAGGACCGGAGGTACGGGAGACGGTCGTCACAAGGATGAACCCCAGCACTGGTTGTGGGGGCCACGCCATGCCCCTGCGTGGGGAACCAGCTGCTGGGGAGCGGCCTGGGAGGTGCTGGGCCCGCCGGCCCTGCGCCTGGGCTCCTCGGAGGCACTCGGCTGGCCGCTGGGGGAAGCAGGCCGCTGGCGCTTTGGCCTGCCCGGCAGAGCTCTCGCGTTCCTCCGACGGGAACGCTCCTTTCCCCGCTACAGCTAGGAACTGCTCCGCTACCGAACACGCTTGCATGTCTCACCATTTAAGCCTTTTGTTTGTGTGGATGCGAAAGGGCGAGATGAACGTTAGCTTTTGGCCCCAAGGCCTGCGTGTGGCCGCACGAAGGGCCTCCGAACCGGGCCAATCCACACACACCGACTGCACAGTCCCGTGCGACGGCACCTGTCCAGCTGTTTGGGTGGGTGGAAGCCTGTAACCTCACATGAATCTCAGTGATCCTGCACAAGATTGTAGGGATGGGTTTGTGTGGTTGCTTCAGGTCACAGAGGACGGTCAGAAAGCAACATTACAAAATAATTGTCCCGAAGCAAATAAAGCTAGCCGTGGCTACTAGGCCTGATGGCTCTCCAGGATGATCAGAGGCCATAGTCCTGCCACGGGTTATTGGGGAGCATGGGTGTGAGGGTACTGCGGCTTGTGTGCGCTCCCCTGATGGCCCTTCCGATCCAACATGAATCGTAAGCCAACATGCTTCCTCTTCCCATTCTCACAGCTTTGACTATTCAGAGATTGGATTGAAAAGAGACAGTGAGACGTACTTCTGAGTCGATACAGATGCCCACGTGCTGTTAGGCACTTTTCCTGTTGTTTGCCCCCCGTGACACTGAAACCCAGCAGAGACATGCCATGAAGCTGAGCGGAGGGAGAGGCGGGACTCTTCACTCAGCACAGAATTAGAATTTGGCCCTCCCACCAATGTAGCAGCCGCCACCAATGAGGGTGGCTTTGGAAGGGGACCGGGCAAATTTGGGAAGAAGAGAAGGCTGTATGCCATTTCCAAATTCGGAGGTACTCACCCCACGCACACCAGTTGCCGTGGTGGCCGGACCGTTGCTCTGATCTGATACGACTCCTTTTCCCCTCCAGAGTTCAGCCTTTGTCGTTTCATGCCATCAAGTGATCTCTGACTTGCGATCGCCCTTTGAATGAACGCTTTCCAGCAAAACGCCCTGTCCTCAAAGGCCCTGCTCAGCCCTTGTCCTTAATCATGACTACGGGAATAACATGGAGCTTGTTTCCCTTGTTCTTAGAATAAACACCACTGTGTTTGAGAAAAGTGTAACCTATTCTAAAATGTTAAATAGCAGAACGAGCATCTGTAGCCCTGCTGGATTGACCTACGTCAGCATAATGTTCACATAGGAGGCAGCCAGTGCAGCAGGGCCTTCCAGAATCTCTGCCAGAGCAGCATTAGGCCGGGTCAGGCAGCGCGGTGCCAGAGCCAGCTCTGCATCAGCCACTTCTCCTTGCAGGTCTCTTGGGGCCCCAGGCGCTCCCTCAAAGCCCAGCCTTACATGCACCAGTGCAAACTGAGGACCAGGTGTGTGCGTTTACTTTCCCCTTCCTTTAGAAATAAGCACATTTGTGCAGCTACTTTGCATCACACCCAGCATTTCTATAGATTGGTTCGGCTCAGTGGGCTAACACGTGTACAATTACACTCGAAACATCAAACTCAAACTCAAAACATCCCTCATCCATGACTTAATTGTGGATGAGGGGGCTGACCTGGCTTGCATTACAGAGACCTGGGCAGGAGGGGGGGGGTGTATCCCTCTCTCAACTGTGCCCACCCGGTATCTGGTCCAGCACCCGCCACGTCCAGAGGGGAGGGGAGGGGAGGGGAGGGGGGTCGCTTTAATTTACCGAGCTTCTATTCTCCTTGCGGGGCTTCCTGTTCCCTCGAGACCAGGTCTAGAGTGCTTATACCCGGCGTTGGGCGACCGAGACAGATTGGGGATTCTGCTGGTGTATCGTGCACCCTTCTGCCCATCAGACTCCCTGCCTGAGCTGACAGAGATCGTCCCGGACCTGGTGTTGAAGACCCCCAGGATGTTGGTCCTGGGAGACTTCAATCTCCACGCCGAGACGGTTCTGACCAGGGTGGCTCAGGACTTCATGGCCTCCATGATGGTCATGGGGCTGTCTCAACATGTCACAGGCCTGACCCATGAACGTGGTCACACACTGGACCTGGTTTTCTCGACGGGGCAGGAAGAGGGTGATCTGAGGGTGAGGAATTTGCATCTGACTCTCTTGTCATGGTCAGACCACTTCCTCATGAGGTTTGAGCTCAGAGCTGGCCTTTCCCTCTCTAAGGGTGCAGACCCTATTGTGATGGTCTGCTCTCGGAGCCGGATGGACCCAGATGAATTCCTGAAGGCTCTGGGGGATTTTCCAGTTGATAAAGCTGGCGCTCCTGTCGATGCTCTGGTTGAACTGTGGAATGGGGAAATGGCCAGAGCAATTGACACGATTGCTCCCAAGCATCCTCTCCTGCCGGACAGACCCCATCCTTCCCCATGGTACACTCCTGAATTACGGGCGATGAAGTGGGTTGGGAGACGACTAGAGCGTAGGTGGAGGAAATCACGGGATGAATCTGACCGGACATGCCTACGAGCTCACTATCGAGCCTATGCTGTGGCGGTGAGGGAGGCGAAGAAGAAATTCTTCTCCACTTCCATTGCCTCCTCACAGTGCCGTCCAGCGGAGCTCTTTCGAGTGGTACATGGGCTGATACACCCTGGCCCTAAGAAAGATCCCGTACCACCTTCGATGGCCTGCTGTGACGACTTTGTCCAGCTCTTTAAGGAGAAAATCGCTCAGATTCGTCACGAGCTGGACTCCACAAGTGATTCAGATCCTTTAGGGGAGATGCCAATGACTCTGTCTGGTCAGATATTAAGGGATGAATTTCAGTTATTGCGGCCTGATGATGTGGACAAGGTGCTTGGACAAGTGCGTCCCACCACCTGCTTACTTGTCCCTTGCCCTTCCTGGCTGTTGACCAAAGCCAAGCACGGGATTAGTGCCAGGATCCTGGAGGTCATTAACACCTCTCTGAGGGACAGCTGGGTGTCTGCTCCTCTAAAGGAGGCAGTAGTCAGGCCGGTCCAAAAGAAGGCATCCCTGGATCCAGAGATGGCCACAAATTATAGACTGGTGGCCAACATCCCGTTTTTGGGCAAGGTGTTGGAACGGGTGGTGGCGGGACAACTCCAAGCACTCTTGGATGAGACTGACTATCTGGACCCATTTCAATCCGGCTTCAGACCCGGGTACAGTACTGAATCTGCCTTGGTTGCCCTGTACGATGACCTGTGCAGGGAGAGGGACAGGGGGAGTGCGTCCCTGTTGGTCCTCCTGGACCTCTCAGCGGCTTTCGATACCATCGACCATGGTATCCTTCTGGATAGGCTAGCGGGACTGGGGGTTGGAGGCACTGCTTTGCAGTGGTTCCGCTCCTATCTCAACGGCCGATTCCAGAAGGTGGTGCTGGGGGACTATGGCTCTGCGCCATGGCAGCTATGCCATGGAGTACCGCAGGGGTCCTTTTTGTCCCCCTTGCTATTCAACATCTACATGAAACCGCTGGGAGAGGTCATCAGGAGGTTTGGGCTGCGGAATCATCAGTATGCTGATGACACCCAGCTCTACCTCTCTTTTTCAACTGATCCAGGTGAGGCAGTGGCTGTACTGAACCAGTGCCTGACCGAGGTAACGGGCTGGATGAGGGCCAATAAACTGAAGCTCAATCCAGACAAGATGGAGGTCCTGTTGGTGGGTGGATCGAGCTCCTGGGTAGGTGACTTGGGCCTTGCCCTGGATGGAGTTGCACTCCCTCTAAAGGACAGCTTGGGAGTGCTCCTCGACCGGGAACTGTCCCTGGAAGCCCAGGTGACAGCAGTGGCGAGGAGCGCTTTCCTTCAGCTTCGGTTAATCCATCAGCTGCGTCCCTACCTAGCGACAGTGACACATGCGTTGGTTACTTCCTGGTTGGATTTCTGCAATGTGCTTTTTGTGGGGCTGCCCTTGAAGACAGTCCGGATACTTCAGATGGTGCATAATAGAGTGGCCAGGTTGCTGAGGGGGACTGGGCGCTATTCTGATATAACCCCAGTCCTATACCAGCTTCACTGGCTTCCCATCAAAATCCGGGCTCAATTCAAGGTGCTGGTCATTACCTATAAAGCCCTTAACGGCTTGGGACCTGGATACCTAAAGGAATGCCTGCGGCCGTATTTGCCCTCCCGCCCCGAGATCGGCAACAGAGGCCCTCCTCCGGGAACCCTCTGTGAAAGATGTTAGGAGACAGAGTACCCGGAGGAGGGCCTTCTCTGCGGTGGCGCCCCGACTGTGGAATGCACTCCCCAGAGAGGTCTGCCTGGCGCCGTCGTTATATGTTTTTTGGTGCCAGGTTAAACCCTTTTTATTTCAACAATATTTTAATAAGTTTTAATCTCATGACCTATATGTTTTTATTGCAGCCAGTATGGGTCGATAATTTTATTTATGTTATATTTTATTGTATTTTATCTATGTGAGCCGTCCTGAGGCTTTCGCGACAGGACGACATATAAATACTTTAAATAAATAAATAACTAAAATTAATCAAGTCGTCGTTAATCAACAACAAAAAGCCGGGGGAGGAGAAGTAAAAGCGCCTGTCAAACGAAGGCGCGGAGGGCGGAGCGGCAAGGCGACGGAACAGCCGCCTAGCGCAGCATGACAGCTTTGTTTTGGAAGACCCGGATTGGCTGGTTGCTTATGTAATGGTCGGAGTAGGCGGAGACTGCAGGCGCGAGGCATCCTGGGCGTTGTATTCCCTCCGGGTCGCCGATATATATCGGGTCGCGCACCGATGTATGTTTTTTTTTCTTTTTGAGGCTTGGTGGCTCTCGTTCCGTGATGGGAAACAGAGTCCGTTTCCTCCCCCCGCCCCATTGAGGGACTACGTTTCCCAAGGCGGCGCGGGAGCGCGAGCGCGGGCCTTCTCGCTCCGCCTCCCTCTCCCGCCTCCCGCGGAGCCTTTGGTAAACAGAGCGCCGCCGAGGCGGCCGCCTATCTGGCTGCGGCTCCCGGAGGCGCGACGGAGGGTTGAGGAGCGGCGGGCAGGCGGCGCGCAGGCCGAGGCGCAGGCCCGGGCCCAGGCCCAGGCCCAGGCCGGCGCCTCCCGCGCGGAGGGCGGAGCGCGGCGCCTCGTCCCGGCCGCGGCGGCGATGTGGCGGCGCTGAGGGCGGCGGGGCG